CCAGGCACCCGCCCACCAGTCTTGCTATCCTGCCTCCCTGGTATTGGGGTCCCCGTCCCTCCAAGGCTTCCAAAAAGCACTCGCCAAAAAAAAAAAAGGGTGGGGGGAACGCGCGATTTTGTTTGCCCTCAGGCGCCGGCCCCAGGCCCCCGCCCAGCAGTCCCGCCGCCCTGCCTCCCTAGTATTGGGAAAAATGCGTGATTTTCTTTGTCCCCAGGCTCCAGTCTCAGGCACCCGCTCACCAGTCTTGCTGCCCTGTGTCACTGGTATTTGGGTCCCTGCCCCTTTAAAGCTTCCAAAAGGCACTCGCCAAAAAGAAAGAAAAAAAACGGGAAAAACGCGCTATTTCCTCCGTCCTCAGGCGCCGGTCTCAGGCACCCGCCCACTGGTCCTGCAGTGAAAAATGCGCTATTTTGTTTGTCCTCAGGTTCCGTTCCCAGGCACCCTCTCACCGGTCTTGCTGCCCTGCTCCCTAGCACCGGGGTTCCTGTCCCTTTAAGGCTTCCAAAAAGCACTCGCCAAAAAAAAACCGCTTTGGTTTCTTTCCACCCGCCGGGAGCCGAGGGGAGGAGCGCTTTGGTCCCGCTGGGCCGGGCCTTGTATCTTACCCCCTTCGCAAGGTGCTTGGTTCTTGCAGGTGTGGATGTGGTCTGTATATTGTCCTGTATCCTCTGGTCTCTATTTTAGGAAGAGTTTTCTTTGTTATATTTTCATAGATCTATGTGTTTTGGGGAGGAGATTTCCAGTGCTCTACTCACGCCGCCATCCTGGCTCTGCCCCCCACCCCCATAGTTTACTAATAATGTCTTTGTCTGGTTTTGGTGTTAAGGTAATGTTAGTGTTATAGAATAACTTTGTAAGTATTCCCTCTTCTTCTTAAAGAGATTGTAAGAGAATTGGTGTGATATTTGCCTTAAATGTTTAGTACAATTCACTAGTGAATACATTTGTGCCTCATGCATTCTTTTTTGAAATATTATTATTAACTAAATTCATATGATAAATGTAGGCCTATTCAGATAAAATATTTCTTCCTGTGTGAGTTTTGGTCGGTTGTATCCTTCAGAAAATTGGCCCATAGCAATGAGATTATCTAATTTGTGGGCATAGACTTGTTGGTAGTGTTCGTTCAGTATGCTTTTAATTTTCATGGGATTTACAGTCATGTCTGTTCTTTCATTTTTAATGTTAATTTGTGTGCTCCTTGTTTTCTTAGGATGTACCAATTTTGCTGATTTATCAAAGAACTACCTTTGGTTTCATTGATATTCTATTGATCTCCTGTTTTTAATTTCACTGATTTGTGCCCTACTTTTTTGTTGTTGTTAGTTTGGATTTAATTTTCTGTTATTTTTCTAGTTCCCTGAAGTGGAAACTTAGATTATTTATTTTTGGTACTTCTTTTCTTATATATGCGTTCAGTGTTATAAAGCTCTCTCTAAGCACTGTTTCTGCTTTGTCACATATTTTGTTAGGTTATGTTTTTTTTTAATTCAAGTAATTTTTCAGTTCTCTTGAGATTTCTTCTTTGACTCATGTTTTATTTATAGTTGTGCTGTTGAATCTCCATATATTTTCAGTACTCCTTTTGTTACTGATTTCTCAATATCATTATGCTTTGAAAGCAGACATTACATGATTTCTATTCTTTTAAATGTGTTGAGGTATGTTTTATAACTGAGAATTTGGTCTGTCTTGCTGAACGTTCCATATGAGCTTGAGAAAAATGTATACTCTCCTGTTCTATGAAATAATCTGTAGATGTCAGCTATATCAATTTGGCTGATGCTGTTATTAAGTTCAACTGTGTCCTTATACTGACTTTTTTGTGTGGTGAATTTGACCATTTTTAATGGTGGGGTGAAGTCTCCAAATATGATAGCGGATTCATTTGTATCTCTTTGCAGTTCTGTCAGTGTTTGCCTCTTGTAGTTTGATGCTCTGTTATTAGGTACATACACATTAAGAATTTTTATATTTTATCACTTCATACCAGTTAGAATGGCCACTGTCCAAAAGAGAAGAAAGAACAAATGCTGATGAGGATGCAGAGAAATGGGAACCCTCCTACACTGTTGGTGGAAATGTAAATTGGTGCAACCACTGTGGAAAGCAATATGGAGGTTCCTCAAAAACCTGAAAATAGAAATACCATTTGATCCAGTAATTCCACTTATGGGAATTTAACTGAAAAAAAACAAAATCTCTGATTAAAAAAGATACATGCACCCCTCTGTGTATCACCACACTATTTGAAGTAGCCATGATATGGAACCAGCCTAAGTGTCCATCAATAGGTGTATGGATAAGATCTGATACATATACACAATGGAATATTATTCAGCCATAAAGGAAAAGAAATTCTGCCATTTACAACAACATGGATGGACCTAAAGGGTATTATGCTCAGTGAAATTAGCCAGGTAGAGAAAGACAAATACCGTGTGATTTCACTAACTTGTGGACTATAAAAACAAGCAAAACAAAAGGAACAAAACAATAGTAAACACATAGACACTGAGAAATGATGAGTGGTTATCAAGGGGGAGGGGTTGGGGCCGGTGTGCTGGTGATCATATAAGTTGATCACAAGGACAGTAGTACAGCAAGGAGAATATAGTCAGTGATTTTGTAATATCTTTCTACATTGATAGATAGTAACCCCACTAGAGGAGATGAGGACTTGATAATGTGGGTAACTGTTGAACCACTGTGATGTACAATTGAAATCAACATATGATTGTGTATTAATGATACTTTAATTTACTAAAGATACTAAATTTTTTCCCATGTGATAATTAAGAATTCTCTTTTAGCAATTTTCAAATATACAGAACAGTATTATTAAATATAGTGGACATATTATACATTGCATCCCCAAGTAGTTCTTCTTTTAGTTAGTGTTAGCATAGTTTATTTTCTCTGTCCATTTACTCTTAGCTATTATGTGCATTTATATTTAAAGTGAGTTTCTTGTAGATATCATATACTGGGTCTTGTTTTATCTACTTTGACATTATCTGTCTTTTACTTGGTACATTTAAACAATTGACAATCCAAAGAATTATTGATATATTTGTATTAATGTCTGCCATGTTTGTTTCTGTTTGTATTTGTTGCCCTTGTTTCTATTTTGTGTTTCACTCTTTTTTTCTGCCATTTGTCATTTTAACTGAGCATTTTATGTGATTCCATATTCTCACCTTTCTTAACATACCAGTTATACTTATTTTTTACTCTTTTTATTGGTTGCCCTAGAGTTTGCAATATACATTTAAATTAATCCAAGTCCACTTTCAAACAATAGAAATCACATCACAGTTAGTGTGAGTGCCTTGTAATAACAAAGCAATAGTAATTTCTTTCTCCTATCCCTTGTATCGTTGCTGTCATTCATTTCACTTACATATAAATATATATAAGTACATAATTGTGTATATGATATGTACTAACCATACATAGTTTCATACATCCCTAATGTTAATATTTTGAATTGTTAACCTGTTCAGTCAGTTAAGAATAAGAAAAAGGTTTTATTTTACCTTCATTTATTTCTTCTTCAGTGCTCTTCCTTTCTTTTATATAGGTCCATTTTTTTAGATCACTTTTGAAGTATGTCACAGAATACAAAGTTCTCGTTTGATGGGAGTTTTTCTCTCCACACCTCAAATACTTAACTCTCTTTTTGCTTCATGTTTTCTTAGAAGTCTGATGTAACTCATCTTTTTCCTCTGTAGGGAAGGTGTTTTTTTCCTCTGGCTTCTTTCAAGATTCTTTTTCTTATATCTGATTTTTCTGTAATTTTTAAATTATATAACTAAGGTAGTTTTTTTAAAAAAATAAAGTATCATTGATATACAATCTTACGAAGATTTCGCATGAACAACATAGTGGTTTCAACATTCACCCATTTTATCAAGTCCTCACCCCCCACCGCAGTCACTGTTTATCAGTGTAGTAAGATTTTAGAGTCATTGCTTGTCTTTGCCATGCTGTACTGCCTTCCCCAAGACCTAACTATATTGTGATAGGTAGTAGTTTTTAGGCATTTATCCTACCTGTATTCTGTCAGCTTCCTTGATCTGTGCTTCAGTGTCTGACATTAATTAGGGGAAATTCCCCAGCTATCATTGTTTCAAATACTTCTTTTATTACTTTCTCTTCTCTGGTGTTTTCCATTACCATATGTTACTGTATGTTGCACCTTTTGTAGTTGCCCTACAGTTCTTGAATAGTATTGGATTTGTTTTGTTTTGTTTTGTTTTTCAGTCTTTATTCTCTGTTTTTTGGTTTTGAGGATTCTGTTGATATATCCTTTACTTAGAGATTCTTTCCTCAGCCATGTTCAGTCTAAGAGCTCATAAATGTTATTCTTCATTTCTGGTAAAAGTGTTTTTTACCCATAGCATTTCTGTTTTGGTTCATAGGATTTCCATCTCTCTGCTTACATTGCCCATCTGTTCTTGCATGTTCTCTTCTTGAGCCATGTTAATCATAGTTGTTTTAAATCCCCTGTGTGATAATTCCAACATCCGTTCCATGTCTGGTTCTTCTTTTGCCTGCTCTGTCTCTTCACAAGAGTTGTTGATTTTTCATTCTGTTGAGCTTTTTATTTGTTAAGATAGAATAATGATTTCCAAGCTCCTTACATGCAGAACCAGAAAACTACTTGTAGTTTTAAAAAGTAAATAACTCTGTTTTTGTTATTTCTTGAAATTTTAATTTGTGATGTGAGTTTTTATGTATTCCTTAAGCCATAAAATTGGGAAATGTATATAGTTCACAGCAAATATTCTGATAAAGCTTCCCTTAGTTGAACAAAAATAGTTTCTAATTACTCACCAAAAACTAGGTTCTTTATTAATGTGTTTATGTATATATGATTAAATGTATAGAGTTACTGAATATACAGTTAAAAGATTTTTAAAATTATTTTCTTAATTTTTAGTATTTTCATCATTATTCAGTATTTTAAATACTTGAATTCATTCTTTGTCCAGGTTGAAGATTGTAAAAATTTCTTTTAAATGCAAACAGTTTTTTATTCAACTTAGGAAAGAATTGGTGAGTATTGATCTAATAATTATTGATATAAATTAAGTCTTAAGAAATTAGTAGTTTCATGACTGAATTTTATTACAAGTGTTTACTATTACTGTTTATAACTGCCTACTGAATTAATTCACATTGAAAATCTTGACAAATTAATGCAGATTTCAAGATGGCTCTGTATATGAGTGTGAAGTGTATGAGAAACCTTAAAAACATATTTGAATTAGCTGCATTTTTATTAGAGGATATTGATCAACTAAGTGCCTATGATTCATCATTTATGCTCATAAAATATGGAAGTTTTTTCAAGAGTTTTTACTGAAATACAAAGAAAAGTATATAGATATTAAGTATAGTATACAATAAATATATAATGTTAATATATAGAACATTACTACTACCCTAAAAGCTGCTATTATTGCTACTGGAGCTGGTGTCCACTTACGGTCATTAACCTTCCCAAAAGGCAATTACTCTCATTTGTATCACCATGGATTAGTTCACTTATTTGGGGACTTAAAAACTGAAATCATACAGGATGTTTTCTTTTTGTCTGCCTTCTTTCCCTTAACGTTGTGAAATTCATCCATGTTCTTATAGGTAGCAGTAGTTTGCTTGCTTGCTGATGGTATTCTACTGAATGAATATACCATAAATGAGTTATGCATTCTTATGTCAGTGGACAGTTTTGCCACTTCCTGGTTGTGGCTATTACACACATGACTAATTCTGTTATGAATATTCTTGTATAAGTTCAGTAAATGTTTAAAGGAATAAAATTTGATAAATCTTATCTGTAAACTAGAGAATATTTTATTTTAAATAATTATATTGGCAGAAAACCATATGGAAGCCAACTTTTCTAATTTGCTTCCCACTATAATACTGTTGTTAGTAATAATAATAATTATTCAAGTATCTAACATGACATTAAGGTCTTAATATGTGCCTGGTAATAATGCCAACTGTTTTCATTTACTTAATCATTAAAGCCATTCCCTGAGGTGTAGTATATCATTAGAAATGTGATTAGCCACAGGTAACATCAGCAACAAAAATCAACTAACAATTGATCAAAGATTATTTATAGGCATAGTCTGCAGAATGTTGTCTTATTAATGTTTTCTCTGAAACATCACTTTATTTTTTAATACCCAAACTTCATAGAATCTACTTATCTCTCCATACAACGTTTTGTATCTGTTGTTTACAGAGTGGGACAGGGGATTGTTATATTCCAGATTCAATTGGTAGAGTGTCAGAAGCATTCTTTTGAGAAGCAGACTTTTGAAGTATGCAAAGTGTCACAAAAGGGAGAACATACACACATCTTAGATTTTGCTTCTACTGAGTAGTCTTTGTGAGACATTCTCATTTTGCATTGTTTACAGTATGTGGTACAAGTAAACTGTATTTGTTAGTGCATACAAAGCAACTGTTAAAGCATAATTAAGAATTCTCTGGTGATCAGGAAGTAGCATTTTAAGCACATTATCTTTTAATGTAGTAGTTTGATATTTATACATGTCCAGTTTAGTGTATTTTAGTCATGGAAAATATCTTTATGACCTTTTTTGAGACACAAAGATTTTTTCGAAGGACATAGGAGGAAAATTAACCTTAAAAGATCAATAACTTGCACTGTTAGAATTAAGAACTATACTTATCAAAAGACATCTTTAAGAGCACAAAATATGTATATCATATATGCATGCACATACTTACACCACATTCTTGGTTATATATACAACCCAATCCCAAAATATAATAGTCACTTGGATGGACACTCCAGAAACAAGGATATCCACATGGCCAGTAACATGAAAAAGTATTGAACTTCATTACAAAATGTGATACTTGTACACATCCACCAGAATAGTGTAATGAAAAGGTGGACAAACCATTGGTGGTTGAGTCTGTAGAGCATACACTGCTAGTGGGAGGAACTCTATATATTGATCTAACCAGTTTGGAAAACTGTTGGGCATTATCTACTAACAGTAAACACGTGCATTTCTTATGATCTAACAACAGAAATGTGCACATAATGTACATCGACAACAAACAGGAATATACATAGCAGCAATATTTTTACATCCACAAAGTAGAAGCATCAAATGTCTATCAACAATAAATAGATAAATAAATTTGTATATTCATATCATAGAATGCTGCATAGAGTGAAAATTATTGAATTACTGCTTCACAACTGTATGGATGAATATGGAAACATAATATTGAACAAAAGAAATCAGACCTAAAGACACGTATGTGTGATTCCATGTGTATGAAGTTCAAAAACAAGCATAACTAATCTATGGTGATAAAAGTCAAATAGAGTAATTACCTTAGCAAAGGGTGATCTAGAAGAAAGCGGAGACAAAGGATACTTCAGAAGTGCTAGCAAATGAAACATCTCTTGATCTTCATTGTATGAAAATCACAGCTATACACTTATGATTTGTATGACTTGCTATATATATAGTTTGCTTCAGTGAAATTTTTAAAATATATGTATCAAACCTTTAGAGAAAAATAAAAGAAATGCTTCTATTCTGTTGCTGTTTATTTTAAAATATGAGTTTCATAATAGTGTGCAGAAGTAAATATTCTTATTTACAGTCTAGACTGAGTCATAAATTTAGAGATGGTAAGCATATCTTAAAGCTTAATTTATGGGGTAGGATCATACTTTCAAACAGAATTATACCTAGTAAGTTTTGAAAACAGATAAATATCAATTCTTAAACTTAATTCAAAACTTAAGTTTTAAAAATAAATAAGTATTAATTTTTAAACTTAATTCTAAGCATGTTCTCCAGTGAAAATATGTAAGAGTTGTAATATTATTGGATCAGGTCCACATTCTGCAAACCTTTCCATTTATTTTACTGCTTTTTGGACATTGGATCAGCAAAAAAGATGCTAGGATTAATGTTTATAAGGCTAAAATATTTATCTATAAAAGGTACATTAAATGGAGCATTGGATACTGATATTTTCCTTGTATTCTTTGCATTTTATCATTTATTACAGCATGAATCTAGAGAAACATTATTGGGATTTAACATGGTCAATTACAGAGCATGCAAAAATTTGTGGAAAACATGTGTAGAGCATCACACCTTCTTCCGTTTAGACAGACCACTTCCACCTCAAAAGAATTTTTTTGCACATTATTTTACATTAGGTTCAAAATTCCGGTACTGGTAAGTATTGCTTATATTCATTAACAATGCTTTATTGTTGTATTTTTCCTCATATTAAAATAAAGATCCAGTTAATGGACCACAGAATCTTTGTTATTCATACATACCTACTAAGTGGAGTATGTCTCCTTTGTCTCTATCAGCAAAAAGTTATATAGGTTCTTGTGATATAGCCAGGATTGAAAAACCTGTTCCATTGACCATATTCCAGGTAATTATTTTCTAAAGTAAATCAACCCTGTTTAATTATTCGCATTCTAGACATGTTGTAATTTCTATTGTGTCTTTGCTAAATATTTACAAAAAAACTTTTCTTTGTTCTAAAACACCTTTATTTTTACTTTTTTTAAATTAAGGTATCATTGATATATACTCTTATGAAGGTTTCACAAGAAAAACAATGTGGCTATTACATTCACCCTTACTATCGAGTTCCCCCCATATCCCATTGCAGTCACTGTCCATCAGTGTAGTAAGATACCACATTGTCCCTATTTGTCTTCCTTGAGCTACACTGACTTCTCCATAATGCCACACACACCATGTGCACCAGTCATGATACCCCACAAATCCCCTTCTCTCTCTCTCCCCACACGCCCTCCCCAACCCCTCCCCTTTGATAACCACTAGTCCCTTCTTAGAGTCTGTGAGTCTGCTGCTATTTTATTCCTTCAGTTTTGCTTCATTGTTACATTGCACAAATGAGGGAAATCATTTGGCATTTGCCTTTCTCCACCTGGCTTATTTCACTGAGTATAATGTCCTCCAGTTCCATCCATGTTGTTGCAAATGGTAGGATTTGTTTCTTTCTTATGGCTGAAGAGTATTCCATTGTGTATATGTACCACTTCTTCCTTATTCATTCATCTACTGATGGACACTTAGGTTGCTTCCCTATCTTGGCTATTATAAATAGTGCTGCGATAAACATAAGGGTTCATATGTCTTTGTGAATCTGAGAAGTTGTTTTCTTTGGGTAAATTCCTAGTAGTGGAATCCCTGGGTCAAATGGTATTTCTATTTTTAGTTTTCTGCAAAACCTCCATACTACTTTCCACAATGGTTGAACTAGTTTACATTTCCACCAGCAGTGTAGGAGGGTTCCCCTTTCTCCACAACCTCACCAACATTTGTTGTTGTTTGTCTTTTGGATGGTGGCAATCCTTACAGGTGTTAGGTGGTATCTCTGTGGTTTAAATTTGCATTTTTCTGATGACTAGAAATGTGGAGCATCTTTTCATGTGTCTGTTGGCCATCTGAATTTCTTTGGAGAACTGTCTGTTCAGATCCTTTGTGCATTTTTAAATTGGATTATTTGCTTTCTGTTTGTTGAGGTGCATAAGCTCTTTATATATTTGGGATGTCAACCCTTTATGGGATCTGTCATTTATGAATATATTCTCCCATAATGTAGGATGCGTTTTTGTACTGCTTATGGTGTCCTTTGCTGTGCAGAAGCTTTTTCGGTTGATGTAGTCCCATGTGTTCATTTTTTATTTTGTTTCCCTTGCCCGAGGAGATGTGTTCAGGAAAAAGTTGCTCATGTTTATATTCAAAAGATTTTGTTTTCTTCTAAGAGTGTACGGTTTCATGACTAAACACTTAGGTCTTTGATCCATTTCGAATTTACTTTTGTGTATGGAGTTAGCCAGTAATCCGGTTTCATTCTCTTCCATGTAGCGATCCAGTTTTGCCAACACCAGCTATTGAAGAGGCTGTCATTTCCCCATTGTATATCCATGGCTCCTTTACTGTATATTAACTGACCATATGTGCTTGAGTTTATATCTGGTCTCCCTAGTCTCTTCCATTGATCTATTGTTCTGTTTTTGTGCCAGTACCAAATTGTCTTGATTACCATGGCTTTGTAATAGACCTTGAAGTTGGGGACCATAATCCACCCCCTCCACTTTATTCTTCCTTCTAAGGATTGTTTTGGCTGTTTGGGATGTTTTGTGGTTCCATATGAATTTTAGAACTATTTGCTCTAGTTCATTGAAGAATGCTCTTGGTATTCTGATAGGGATTCCATTGAATCTGTAGGTTGCTTTAGACAGGATGGCCATTTTGACAATATTAATTCTTCTATCTGTGAGCATGGGATGTGTTTCCATTTATTGGTATCTTCTTTAATTTCTCTCATGAATGTCTTATAGTTTTCAGAGTATAGGTCTTGCACTTCCTTGGTTAGGTTTATTCCTAGGTATTTTATTCTTTTTGATGCAATTGTGAATGGAATTGTTTTCCTGATTTCTCTTTCTTCTAGTTCATTGTTAGTGTATAGGAATCCAACAGATTTCTGTGTACTAATTTTGTATCCTGAAACTTTGCTGAATTCAGATATTAGATCTACTGGGTTTGGAGTGAATTCTTTAGGATGTTTTATGTACAATATCATGTCATCTGTAAACCGGGACAGTTTAACTTCTTCCTTGCCAATCTGGATGCTTTTTAATTTTTTGTGTTGTCTGATTGCCATGGCTAGGACCTCCAGTACTATGTTGAATGAAATTGGGGAGAATGGGCATCTTTATCTTGTTCCCAATCTTAAAGGAAAAGCTTTCAGCTTCTCGCTTTTAAGTATGATGTTGGCTGTGGGTTTGTTGTATTTGGCCTTTATTATTTTGAGGTACTTTCCCTCTAGACCCATTTTGTTGAGAGTTTTTACCGTGAATGGATGTTGAATTTTGTTGAATGCTTTTTCTGCATCTATGGAGATGATCATGTTGTTTCTGTCCTTTTTGTTGATGTGGTGAATGATGTTGATGCATTTTCGAATTTTATACCATCGTTGCATCCCTAGAATAAATCCTGCTTGATCATGATGGATGATCTTTTTGATGTATTTTTTAATTCAGTTTGCTAATATTTTGTTGAGTATTTTTGCATCTATGTTCATGAGGGTATTGGTCTGTAATTATCTTTTTTTTTTTTTTTTTT